AGGGGGCAATGTTGAATTTAACATTCCCTGTCTCATCAGAGCTGTGCTGTAAGTTAGGTGAGTTTGACAGGGTTTTCCTTTCGATGGCAAAAAGGAGTAAACCAGTGTGGTGTGGGAAAGATGGAGAACAGGGAATGGAGGATACAGCACAGAAGGGTGGTGGGTGGGGCAGCAAAACCAAGGGAGGTCAGCGATGGAGACTAAATGATCAGGAGGGAGAAGAAGCCATCAACAGGTTGGAAACTGTGTTTAGGCTTGACTTTTCTCCAAGGACCCAAACGGAACCAGCACATCCTTGGTGTCTAGGCTCCAGAGGCAGTTCCTGCTGGCTCTCCTCCTAACTCTATCCTCCTTTTTTTTAGGCTGTGGAGTGGCAGGATTGGAATGGAAAGCTGAAGCACCCTCTTTTACTTTCACCAGCTCCCTGTGACTAGCGAGGGAAATTAGCTGGAGTGTTGTGATGGCTGTTTCCTGCTTGAGAACATAAAAAATGGAATCATTCCTGACAAACAAGGATTCAGCTAAAGATGAGGTGGAGGTAGGCGGGAAGTTCTGTAATTGCTTTTTATTTAAATCTTTATGAATTAGCTCTGCCAGGGTGTTGGTTTTTATTTTAGATTTTTATTTTTTGCTTCAAGTGGCTTCTGAGTAAGTTTCTCAGCTGCAAATACAGTAAAACCAGACTATATACAGCTATAGCCAATATGTTTGGTTTAACATACAGCAAGAAGCCTTTCCCTTATGAATCTCTGAGGTCTAATTTCCATGAGCAAGGACAAAGGTTTAATTTTCTGCCATTATGCACAGGTTAGCCTAGACTGGGTATTAATAGAGACACGTACTCACACCCACAGCCACAGGTACAGCGTCAATCAAAACCTGAAGGCAGAACTTACACTCCATGGCAACTTCCAGGGCACAGTTCTCGCCTCTCGTTTCCTGTTTCCAAACTGTTCCAGCAGCTGGGTAGGTTGTAACTCATGTTCAGAGGGTTTGGGACCAAATTCCCGCCCTGGCCGGAGCAGGAATGGGGACCACAGGTGAGGGCAGACACTCACCAGGCTGCCACAGCCATGCCCTGCACCAACCACCAGCAGCAGATCTGTTGCCTTGGCAAATATTGCCGTGCCTTGGGAACCTTCTGGCCCTGGAGCCCTTCCACCCACAGGACTCTCAGCACTGAAAAACGATTTGGGAGGTTATTTGTGCACACGTTCACTCATCCCTCCGAGTGCACAAGCCCCAAATAAAGAGAGCAGAACAACTCTGTGAAACCTCACCAGCCAAAGAACAACAAACAAGCCATGAGCCCAGAGCAGCTTCAAATGAAACAGAAAGGCTTCGGCTTGAGGCTTCTTTATGCCAGCGGTGCTCTCAGGTGTGTGTTCCAGGGAAATATATTTCCTGGGAGCCTGTTGACAACATGGGAAAAAAACCCAAAGAACTTTAAGGGTCGGATAAATACGCCAAGGATTTTTGTAAGGGTGGCCCTTTCAAATGAAAATGTAGGTAGTAAGTATCTCCAAAAAGGAAAAAGAGAAAAGGAGCGGTGTTTCTAGACTACCACGTATATGCAGAATTTGAGAGAGGGACAAAGTTGTTAGCAATTCCCATCAGGTCCCAGAATTCATGTAAATCCAGATGGCTGAACGACATGAGTTCAATTTTTTTTTTTTTTCCCTTTAAGGGAAATCTGGAAGTTTTAAAAACAGTTTAGCAAGAGCCAATTAATCAAACCCACCAGAAGTGTGCTGGGATGGCTGCCGAAATAAGGAATGTCATGTTTCAGCTTGCCTTAGGCGAAGATGGGAAGAAACTCCTTGGAAGCTTAGTAGGAAATCTCCCTTCCACTATCCCAGGCTGCTCCAAGCTCCGATGTCCAACCTGGCCTTGGACACTTGCAGGGATCCAGGCGCAGCCACAGCTTCTCTGGGAAACAGGAATAATGGATTGCCGGCGGGATGTTTCAATCGGATTGTGTTCCATGGGATGAGTTTCCTCGCACCCAGTAACATAATATTTTCCTTCCTATTATCCGGAGCATTTGGGAGCAGGACTTGGGGAGTTTTGGGCCCTGCATCAACCCACAAAGCACGAGCAAAACAAGATGTCAGTTCAACGGGGTAATTCCACGTGGAACTGAAAAATCAATGAAATGTTGAATGGTCGCTGTGAAAACGGGGGTAGAGGGAAGCATGCCGGGCAACTCCTTTCCATTTTTATCTTTATTTTTATTTGTTTTTATTACTTTATTTCCTCTTGGTAATTCAGGCAAATATGTTGAAGCATGCCCTGCCCTTTCTGTCGTTTACCCCTCGCCTCAGCTGTTTGCTGTAGGCGATACCTGCCGGCTAACACAGAACGGCCCATGAGGGAGAGCGGGATCGCGGCTGCGGAACACTGGAGGGTTAAAGAAAACCCCAAAGCTGCACGTTTTATCGCAATACCGTCTATACGGTATGGATCGCAGTTGCTGTGGCCTCGGTGGAGAGGGTCAGGAACCCGGTCCTGTGATCTCGATCCCGATTCTCGATCCCGGCGGGGCCGCGGGCTCGGCGCCAACATGGCGGCCGCCGCTCCGCCCCCCGGTCGCCAAGGNCTCTGCCCGCGCCGCCTTCCCTTGTCCTAATCCCGGGAATAACGCGGGACTTGGGGAAAGTTTGCGTCCTCTCGCCCCGCGCCCCGGGACTGCCGGGCTCGGCCGAGGGCTCCGCGGCACCCACCTCCTTCTGGGAAAAAAAGCCCCAGAATGGCTTTTTTTGTGGCCGGCAGGAGAAAACGGGGTGCTGCCCTCGGCAGCGCGGCGCTCTCGGGGAGCCCGGCCGTGGCAAGGCTCCGAGGCCCAGGGCTGCAGCCTCGCCGGCAGAACTCCGTTTTTGGGGGTCCGAGGGGCGGATAAAGCACGTGTGCCGCTGCCAGACCTCCAGCCTTGGCTTGCGCGGGGCGAAACGAAGCAGAAAAAGCCGAGCTCTGGGGCTGGCGGGGAGAGGGAGGTGTTGCCCGGCAGCCGCGTGTGGGTTTTGCTGCAGGGATTTATCAGGGGAAGATGCTGCGCGGTCCCGGCGCTCCCCGAAAATGTTGCCCGCCGCCCCAGATGTGCTCTCCGGAGTGTTTGTGACAGCTCGGCGGAGCAGATGGATTTACATAACAATAATTTGACGCTGTCAGTGCTGGGCGCTGGGCAGCGGCTGGAGGGGAAGGGAACCTGCCCTTCGCTCAAAGCACTTGCGTAATTGTGTTGTGCGCCCACTCCGCGGCAGGGGAAGGTGCTGGTTTTGGGGCGTTTTTTGCCTGTCAATAGGCTGTTTTGGCAGGTTTGCAGAAATCCGGCTCGTCGCCGCTAACGCCCGTACGAGCAGATTTCGTGTTCCAGCCTTGCCTCATATTCCGGGCTGGATTACAGCTCTGAAAACGCTCCCGAGAAGCGGGGATCCGTGTCGGGAAGGTGTGGGTGGATACAGGGTGTGAAAATGCCTTGTAAAACCCTGGGATGGGGCGTGCGGAGAGGCACTGGCTCTCTCGCGTCTTTCCCACCAGGCAGCTCGGTGCTGCGCTTCCCTTCCCTTCCCTTCCCTTCCCTTCCCTTCCCTTCATCTCCTTGTCCCCGCAGCGCTGCTCTGAGGCCGGGGACATGGAGCGAGCCTTCATTTGGCCCCAGGAGCCACAGCGAGCCAATATCCCCTGGCCAACACGTTTTGATTTACTGGTATTATGCCCTGTCAATAAATAGGACTCGTGCTGCATTTATTCCCTGTCCTCAAAGTGCTTCTCTCGTTGCCAAATCTACCTGGAGTTAATTATCTGAATTGTGCTTTTTTTTTTTTTCTTGTTGTTTGTTGTCGTTGTTGTAACAGCAACATTTTTAAAAGCTAAGGAGCTCTGAAGTTTATATAATAATCTGGTTCTTGGCAGGGTTTCGTGGTGGGGTTTTTTTTTGTGTGTGTAATGCAGTCGGTCGCGGCGCTGAGTTTTAATCGTTCTGATGTTTCCAGCACCGCTGCTCGGAGTTCTCAGCCTATAAAGCTGCCGCCCTTGCTCTGCAGCCTCGCTGGAAGAGTTGAGGGCATTGAATTAAAGAAAGCTCAGCTGCTTGTATACAAATATACAGCAATTACAAGGCAACAAAGTTATTGCAGAACCCTGCTATTGCCATGGCAACACGCTCACTCAATTACATTTGGAAATGTAAAATGCCACCCAGTTAGAAAGAGTAAGTTTTAGCGACTGCAGATTTTCTGGGTAAAGTGAAATGTGGAAGATGCAGCTTTCCAGGATTTGCTGCTTTTTCCCTCCTTCCTTGGATGGCATGTTTTAGCCTGTGCATCTGACAGATTCCTGGTGTTTTGATATTAAGCTATGCCCTTGGTGGTCTAAACTTAGGGAAAAAATATCTTAAAATCTTCACAATTTGAACTTTTCCACCCTGTTGTTTTGTTTGTTTGTTTTGCTTCAGGACTTAGCTTTAGAAAGGATGCAGATTAGAGAAAGCATTTTGAAAATCAGCTCAGAATACCAGAAGAATTTGTCATTTGCTCAACGGGATGGAGGTGTGGAAGGAAGGCACACATATGGCATGGAGAGCTTGTATTCCCTTGGGAGGAGATGTCTGTTGGGCAGCCTGTGTCTGTGTGCTGCCATCTCCTAAAGACTCCTAAGCAGACTATCCTAAAGTAGGATAGATTACCAAGTTCTTGAGAAGCCCAGGGTGGGAGATAACAGGTGGAGGAGACACAGGTCCTGGTGTGAGATGTAGGTGAACTCCGTAGTGGAAGTTAGTTTCACTTTCTTGTGTCTCTTTTGCTTGTGAATCACCAAGAAAATAAAGAAGGGCCAGGTTGAATGGGGCTTGGAGCAACCTGGGATAAGGGAAGGTGTCCCTGCCCATGGCAGGGGGGTGGAACTGGATGGGCTTTAAGGTCCCTTTTCACCCAAGCCATTCCAAGGGTAGATGAAAACAGTAGTTTCTTGCATAATTTTTGTGCTGGTGAAGACACAACTGTCTGCTGTGCTTATGTTTCACAGGCAACGTCCCATTAATGCAGAAAAGATATAAAGCAGCAGTGCAGTGACAGCAGGAAAAGGTAAATACAAGAAAAGGTAAATACAAGAATGAGTTTTTTCTTAAGCTAGTAGTGATGTGTTTACAGACACCTGGAGATCGCTGAACTCCTGAAGAAGTTACCTGGAAGCAGGAGCTGATAGGGGATATTTAGGTAGGTGCAGATGGCAGTGGGTTGTGTTGAAGAGACATGTTTTATCCAGATTTTAAGGGCTTGAACTCCAGACTGCCTCCTGAGCCCTTGGAGCACCTAGACTGGGAAGGTTTGCACGTCCCATGGATCTGTGTTAGCTGAGGGATGGTTTTGGGTGGAGGCTTTGCCCAACTTGTCAGGTTGTTCTGCTTTCAGCACCAGCCTGTGACATACCAGCCTTGCCCACTCCTGGAGAGCAGCAGCTTGAGCAGAGTGACTGCAGCCCCTATGGTCAGTACCTGTTCTTCTCCTGGCCATACAATCATGGAATGGTTGAAGATGGGAGAGACCTTAAAGCTCATCCAGTGTCACCCCCTGCCATGGCAGGGACACCTTCCACTGTCCCAGGCTGTTTCAAGCCCACATTGTCCATCCTGACCTTGGGCACTGCCAGGGATCCAGGGGCAGCCACAGCTTCTCTGGGCACCCTGTACCAGAGCCTGCTCATCTTCACAGGGAACAATTCCTTCCTCCCATGGGCAGAGGTGGAAGCACAGGCGCTGCCTACTCATAACCTGCTGAAAAGCTGGAGTTGAGTCTTCAACCTTAAATCCCCTGTGGGACTGCAGGGGTGAAGAACAGGACTTCTTCAAAACAAAGGTTAAAATTGCCCATGGGTTTAGCTCAGTTTGCCCTCTATCTCTCTTTCAAATGCCTTGTGCTTTCTGGGGAATAGACCTCTAAAGCCAGCTTAATGTGTACCTGTGGGCCAGAAACTTGCTCCAGTGCCTGAAACTTGTCCTCGAGGTTCATTTGCAGGTTTCAAAGCAGGGGAAGCCGCAGACTTTCTATGCTTGGAGTGCCCAAACACGTTGCAAGCAAAGTGTTGAGACTAAAACTTGCCCACAAATACATAAGATGGGATAAATAATAATAATAAAAATAAATAAATAATAAAAGAGAATTTTCCTTCACCTTCCAGCATTCCCCTCGTGCTGGTGTGCCACGCTGTGCCTTTGTAAGGTCGCTGTAACCAGCTGTACCTGTGTGCTGTTGAGGTTACCCTGGGTCTGTGTTGGTTAGGTGATGCTCCCTTCAGGGTTTGAGAACCTGAGTGCTCACTGCCCAGCTGTCTCAGCTTAATCTTGGGGTTAAAACACTTCTTTGGTGTCCTTCTCCATCTGAAGAAGTGTTTATGCACTCCTTGGCATTGTGGATTTATATTTATATATAAAAAATATGAACCCCAGCTCTTGGGACTGTATTTCACTCGCCTTGTACCTGTGGTTGAGTATACACAGAGGAGTTTATTTGCTCAGTGGGATCTGTTGCTGGCCTGTTCCAAATAGCAGAGCTTGTCCCAAACCACAAGGAAATATTAATTGAACATGCTATTGGGCCACTGGTAATGACATTTGTTAAATATTTGCCAAGTATTCTTCTTGCTGGCTTCTTCAGTGGTGTCACATTCTACTTCATTGCTCTGCCAGTTCACCTTCAGTTTGCTTCCAGTTATCCCATCGCTTTTCCATATTTTTTTTCAATCCTGCTGCCGAGTCTGCGTGGGTTTAGATGCTATCAGAGCCCTGCAAACCCCTTGAGTTTGTGCTTTTTGTAAGGGTGTGTTTTACTGGGCAGAGAAGCCAATGGGATGTGTCTTGTCACTGAATTCACAATTACTTTTCAGTTTTGAGCCCTCTTCCCTCATGGATAGCTTCTCCCTTCCATTTACCTTTGCTTCCAGGTTCCCCAGGTCCAAGCAGGCCAATGCTTAAGAAGAGTGCAAGCTTTCCCTCACTTGCTGAGCTTAGAAGTCTGGTTTGGGGGGAAAAATCCCTTAAAAATATGTGTGTTTGCCTCAAATAGCTGAAGCTGAAAAACAGCAGAAACACTAAAGCTGTCTGCATTAATAATTAGAAATGTGGCAATTCTGGAAACCAGTAAAAAGGGTAAATAGTCTTTCAAAATATTAAAGTAAAAGCTGTGTGTGTTGGGGGAAGAAATGGCTGTTAGTATTTTGGTTTGATTTAGGTTGCCTCAAATATATAAAAAATTATATATATAAATAATATATATGTATAGTTTTTATATATATATTTCCTATATTGAATCCATGGATGAGGGGAACTTTCCAGAGCCCTCCTGTAATTAATGCCACTTGCATTTTGATTGTGTTATGCACAAGCTCGAAGTGGGCCAGGTTTACTTTCTCCTGCAGTGGACCGTGTTGATAAGGCAATATATAACAGATGATTCATGAAGTGCTGCTTGTCATTGCCAGGGCTGCTTGAATAGCGAGCAGATTTTGGGCAGTGCTTCTTCACCGGAAAGATTTGGGCAGTTTAAACTGAGAGGAGGAGGAGGAGGAGAGAAAAATCTGTACTGTATTTCTGGCTGTCTTAAAGGAGCTGCCTCACAGCATTTAGAAGAAGTTGGTGGGGGAAGAATGGGTGAAATAAAGGGGGGTAGAGAAGCAGGAAAACACATGGAGGTTGCATAATGATGTTGAAAAAAGGAACAATTAGGAAAAGACTGTAAAATCTCTTGGAAAGCTTCTGTGGTTTTCCCTTTGGAAGGAATTGCAGCTTGGCCTTCCCCTCTAAAAATTCAGGCCTTTTCTGTGGCATTCATAACTGGATCAGCTTCATTTTTTTTAGCTCATTTTCCTATTGCCTGTTACCTCAGAGAAGTTTGATTAAAATGTGCCTCAAAGAGCCATCTCCCAGTGCAGAGGAATGTGTGTTGGCTCATGGTCCTGAGCACACTTCAGCCCTCCTCATCAATAGCTGAACCTTTGTTCATAAGAAGCATTTAAACCCCAAAAAGTTGCAATTTGAAACCTGGATCTTTGGGTTGTGAAATCTTTCTTTTTTTTTCTTTTTCAGTTTGCCCAAAGTTAGGTTTTCTTAATTTAGTTTGGTTTTCTAATAACAAGCCAGTTATTTCATCTATCTGTGTATCTATCTGTCTGTGTCTGCTGGAAGAATAATTGTATTTTAGGGGTTTTATTTTCTGCCATCACAGGATAAAATAACGTGCAGGGGCTGAGCGTCTCAGCCTGGGTTTTGGCAGCACAGCAATGTGTTGTTTTAAATGTCTTTTTAAGCGTGTCACTTCTTCATTCCGGGGAGCACTGACATCCAGCTGAACTGAATTCCATGTATCTTTCATGAGCAGTGAAAAACTCTGATATTTCACACACAGGAAATAATTCACTTTATTAATTTTTCTGGAGAAGTGGCGCTTTAATGAGGTGTCTGTCAGCAAGACTTAATTACAGTTAAATTCTGGAAGCATTAGTACACTGTATCTTGTTCCGTGTAAAATGAACTTCCATTTGTCACGTGTGTGTGGGAGCATCGGTTTGCTGATAGAATTTGTGTTAACTCCACTTTGAGGAGTAGCAGTTACTCATAACTGGGCTGTTCCCAGTCACTTCACATACTTCTCCTGCCTGGATTTTCCTGATGTGCTCCATTTGCTCAGGGAAAATAATGCTCAGGTTGGTTCTGGAGTTGTGTTGACAAAATTTCATCTCCACAGAAAGGGTCCATGACATGAGCCTGAAGCAAGGAATTAATCCTGGTGTGTGCTGTTCCTGAGAAAAGGACTGCTTTTCAAAGCATTTGGAAGGTTGCATTTTCCCCCACGGGAGCTACAGTTACCTAGTTCTTGTTACTGTTTGTGGTGGATTCCTGTGAAAGCCTTGGTACAGGTGGTTCTCCCTGAGAGCCAGAAACATGGGCTGCCTTTTGCTGCAGGTTCATGTGCATGTGGTGTGGTGAGATTTGCTCCTCTGCTCAAATCATGTGCACAAAAGTGAAGGAAAATGGCATTTTTCACACCTTTATAACAACGAGGACTGTGCAGACCAGAGCAGTCAATGAGCTTTAGCCTTGGGAGCTCAGGGCAGGGAGAAGTGGGCAGGAAATTGAGAGCACTGCTTTGGAAGGAGGTGTGGTGAGATGGAAGATGGGCTGTTGGCCTTGACTTTGGATGCAGTGGGTCCAACTGCAGACAGGTAGAGTTGCAAATATCACAGATTTCCCAGGGACCATTGGAAAGGGAAGGGCTGTGTGCAGACTGTCCATCCAGGAGGGGTCCTGAGGGAATAGTTCATGGGTGAAACTGAGTTTTCCTGCAGGCTGGGTTATGTTTTACAGCACTGCACGTGTGGGACTCATCTCTTGGAGCAAAGAGAGTTGTTTTCCCAGCCAGCAGAGACTTGCAGTAAAAGGAAACTGCCTGTCCCCAGTGCTGTGGGCGAGTCAGGAGAGGGGACTTGCCCAAGGCATGGCGTGATTGAGGTCGCCAGGACGGCAGGACGGAGCTCAGCCTCAAACAGCACGGTGGGGTGCATGTCCTGCTGGGAAAGCCTGGCTTATTTCTTCAGCCTGCCTGGGCAAAAGGGAAGCACAGAATGCTTTGGAATAGCTCAGAGGATACTGGGTCGTGTTGCTTGTGGAGGTCTTGCTGGAGGGGATGAAGGCTGGCACCATTCTAAACCTGAGAGGGCAGGAACACAGGGAAGTGCAGCTTCCTGCTGCCTTCCCAGGGAGACGGTGCAGTTTGAGTGTGGTTTGTGCTGCTGGAGCATCTTCAGGGGCAGGGAAAGAGACAGACCTGGCTGAATTACTGGTTGGACTCGATGGTCCCAGAGGTCTTTTCCAACCTTAATCATTCCGTGAATGCGAGCAGGATCTGTTGGGTTGTTGCAAAGCTCAGCCCTTTGCTCCCTGTGCAATGCAGAAAGCCTGGTCTGACACTGCTCTTTCTGCTGTTGGTCAGCAAACCAGCCCCTGCATTCTGTGCCCCTGAGCCCTGCTGTGGGTGGGAGCTGCTGCCTGGGTCATCTGGGTTCTCCACGTTTTAGGGCTGCTGCTGCTCCCACTCAGCAGGGCAGTG